AAATATAGTGAGCCTTATGTAATTCTCGCTTGCTATTTTTAACAGGTTTTATAGTAAAAGTATTAATATTTAATAAAATTAATATAATAAAAGCTTACCTGCCGTCATTTGATCAAAACGTCGTTTGTATATTTCAAGAACTTCTTGAGGAAGGCCTTGGTTTACCTCAAACAAGCATGTGTGAGTATGATGTTAGAGTTAGCGAAGAGAAGAAAGCAAATATTTTAACTTCAAAGATTGAGTCTTTTCAAACGCAAGCATTGGTGATGTTGCATCGCAATGTCCAGCAAACGTCTGACACAATATGCAGTTTCACAAAAACGTTTCACAGATTATAATTGCACGTGGTGCGTTTTTATGTTAGATTAACAATAGGATTTTTTCCATAGTTCCCTACCGCACACATTTATGTATCTTGGTAAATTTAAAATATTTAAATTACATTTTCTGAGTCATAATCCATTTTGTGTTCTCACTAAACACTAACAGTGATTATGTTGTTCCTAATTAAGTAAACCTCCCTCATTTCATTAGAATTCGAGACTCAATACTGATCAACATGAAACAATGTTTTTGAGTTTTTTTGTTCCGTACTGTGAAAATGTAGAACTTACCTAACTTTTCTACAGCGATACCCGCACATATCTAATTTTTGACGAGCATCCTTACTACTCAAAGGTTAAAGATGTGTTCCAACTTTCACAGTCATATTTCAATCATATTGATTCTTGTGGGTTATACATTACCTGCATACATTCATTCATTCATTTGCAGGTTTGTAAATATGTTGTAAACTTCTTTTAAACCTCTGAGTAACAGTTGATTAATAACATGAAAAGTTTCGATATGCCGCGCAATGTCACTGGTTTATTAATGGAATCTTCATTAAAATTAAATTTGTAAATAAAGTCATGTACAATTTTTCGAAAATATTAGTCGTAATTGGGTAATTTTGCGTGAAATATACGATATTTAAATTCTAGATTTTCTTAAAAACGCCTCCAATTTTGATTCTTTAAATATTTACTTGAGTAGAGCAATGTACTTTTATAAAAATGACACACGACCCATTTTTCGGGAACAATGTGTGTTTTCGGAAATAGCAAATGAGTAAATTCTTGGAAACCCGGGCCTTCATTTACAGCCAAGCTTAACCCTAGGCAATGGCAGTCTTCTTTTAGTATGTGTTGATGTACACTTGCAGACATTTCTGCATGACTTTAATGGAATGGACATTGAAGTAATTATTATGAACGAACAGTAAATTTAATGTGCATATCTACATTAAGATGCAATAGTCAAAGCTTTATGATTATATCTTGAAGGAATGAAGGAATTATTTAATGGACTGGTGTTTATATATGATATGTATGATAAAAGGTGGAGAAATAGAAGAACCTATATTAAACCTATATTGTTTTTAATTTAATGTTCAAATATATTAAATTATTTTTAATGTTACATTAAGTACAGGAGACAAGTTTTATATACTTAATGCATTAGTCAACATTTCATTTAATGACATTTCTGACAATATAGATGACAGTTTTGCAATGTCAGCAACATAGTGGGTGTTTAACTATTTCTTCATGATTGGAGGCAAACTTGCAGACAACTTGCTTGTAATATATTGTTAAATACATATACAATTCTTAACTACATAACATTTTCTTGAATTATATTGCGATTTATTGAGGATCCGGTCTTGACCACTCCCATTGTTTTTCGGAGTTGCAGAATAGCACTGGTATGTGTATATTGTTTGCTTCCATGTACTAGTGCAAAGTACAAAATCATTAAAAATAACTTAAATTTTACTTAAATTTACTTAAACATAAATTATTCTGAACCTTTTTTATTCCAGATATTTGTGATTTTTACGATATTTGTAGAAAATTGTAAATGTGTCAAATATTTCAAAATCCGTAAATAATTGAGAGAGCGATAATTTGTTACCATTAATTAGTAGAACTGCAAAGTAAGTCATATTCACTAGCAGAAACTTACACCAAGAAATGCTATAAATGTACTAAAGATGTAGAAAAAGTAATGTTGAAAAATGAAATTGAGCATGTGGCAAATAAATTAACTCGAAATGAATTTATGGCTTAAAATTCGCGCCAATTCTCATCGTCCAACGGATACATTAGCTTCAATTGAGCAACTGAATGAAAAGGACGCCCACACAATTAAGAAACACGTTTATTAAAATATAATTACATTTGTAGAATTTTGAACAAGATCCTGAAAGGGCTAGTAATCCAACTTTATTTCAAAGTCCCAGTTCTTTCTCAGAAGACACGTTAAGTCACGATAGCAGCGCTCCGTGCCACAGTGGCAGAATATAGCATCATTTTCTCACTTTCTCATAACCGAACTAAAGCTTCAGCTTTTTGGATTCATCCACCGCTGACGACGTGAAGGCAGGCAGGACGCGGTCATCAGTCTTCAATCTTCTCTTCCAGTGACAAATATTCCCATTGCATCTGAAATACCATAGATTGATGAAGAGTAATTAGAAATCGTGAGTATTGTGTTAAATAAGATATTAGTGGCTGCAAATTTTATTGTTTAAAGAAAAAATAAAGTGAAACTCGTGGTAATGATCGCCGCTTCGATGCACGTGTTTGTTAACAAGATATTATAGAAACTATGTTGATGGAACATTTCATTTCTACGAATAATATTTAATATTACATAATTCTCAGCGATTGATATAAGTAAATTATTCTTCTGCACTAGTCTTGAGCACTCAAAGATGGTTGAAAATGAACTGCTCTGTCAGAAGTCATTAACGACTAAATAGATGAAAATCTTGTTCATAAATGTGAAATTACAAAAAACTATATTTCTGTGGTTACAGGGTAAAAATGCTGAAGTCGAAAATGGTAGTGTGGAGAAAACAAGGGTTAATTATTGAGCCGGAAGCTATATTAAGCGAATTAAGCTATGTTTCTCAACGCTTTCTTGTCTTTTTGAAGGCAATATAAATTCGGTCATTGTACTAAAATAAAATAGATACTTGTAGTTTCAGTACTTAAGACCAATTACGCCAAAATAGTTACGAACTTTTACCCCTTGACCACAGATTTATTAATATATATCGGTAAATATCTTGTAGATTATTGGAAAATGTGAACTTTGTCTATTGTCTAAATTTTACCGAATTTTTATTTCATTAAGGAGAGGATATTAAACTTTCTACTGTTCATAATTTTTCGAAAATAACGAAATATTTACCGTTGTAACAAGCCTAAGGTGCAAGACCAGTAGTGCTCTTAACGAGTTGAAAAATATTTGTGTATTAGCGCCCAGACAGATAATTCAAGAATTGATAATTTCTAGTTGATATTCCTTTAAATAAAAACTATATCGGATGTCCCAGTGACTATGGGTCACCCTCGTATCCTCTAAACGGTTCACGTTAGTAGCCCGTTAGTGTTGTTGAGTAATTATACAAAATATTTTTAGTTAAATTCCGTGGTGGTAGCAGATATCTTGTGGTAATCCATAATATGGTAAAGGAAATCTCCACAAAAGTTTAATGTTAGTTTTAACTTTTGTGGAGATTATTTCCTTTACCATATTATATTTTTAGTTATCGAGAAACTTAATCCTTTGATTTATTTAAACGGATATATATTTTTCTCACTACAGATGGCTAGATCATAAAAATAATACAATGAAGTATTATTTGTTTTGACAGTAGGTAGTGTATGAAATATTTCTTCCTGGTGTGATTTTAAATTAAACCTATAAAAATCTTTAGTAGCCAGTCGCCATTGCGGAATGTGGCCTTCTGTCCGCTGCGAAGGGACTAGCAGGGACGGGGAGATATAAGGGGGTTAGCAGCGCAATTTCAGCAATCCGTAGCCTTGACTAAGATACCCAACAAGCATGAATATTAACGGTCGGATAGAATGATTTTTCTCTTATTCATCGGAATTTAACATCTTTCACTGATAAAAATTCCAAAGCATAGATCATTGAAATGAACTATCTCATAAATAATATGGTATATCCATATGATACCATATAAAGGAATGGTTAATATAAGAAATATATTAGTCATTTTCAAACTTAACAAGAATAAAGTTCGATGTCCAATGGCGGTAAGAACAAGTCAGCATTTTATATTCCAAATACAAGCGAAGAGAATGAACGTTTAGAGTTTCACTATAATATCGCCAAATAATTCATCAGATTATAGAAAGGTATAAATTTTGTTGTAATTGTCCTTACTTAACCTCTCATTGTAAATTTTCAAACATAAGACGTACATAACAATAACAAACTGAATTAAAATGTGTACATTATTTACCTGTGTATCCGACCCATCGACAGCATTGCGCATCTGCAGTCGTGTCAAGGACCCACGAACTAACTGCGGTGGTTTGTGACGCTGTTCTTCGATGTTTTGATATTTCAACCAGAAGAGAAGTTGATTTCTGATGAACCAATTGAAAAAATCTTTCTTTCTCACCGGCATTATTGATGTTTGTACATTTGTTCGCCGTGACAAGAGCATGAATTGCTTAGCTTCTATCCCCCATTGCCACCCCTAAGTTTCGGCGCTGCGAAGGCCACCCTTCCCAAAGGCAAGTTGAAGGGGCTTCCACAGGAATATTGTTCTGTAGCAGCAATAGAAGTTAGATGCTCTAGTCAGAATCACATATCAAAGTATAATTTTATTCTTGAACGAGTATCAAAACATAAACAAATACATTAAATATCTCTATGATCTATCCATTGCTGGTGAGATATAGTATTTCATATTAAAAATTGGAAATTAAATTTTTCAAACTAAAACTATTTCAAACTCTATTACTTTCCCACTGATTTCATATAGTTGAGGGAAAACTGCATTTTGATATCATGAACCGTTTAGAAGTTATTGGAGGGGGGTGGCCCGTCATTGGTGGTAAACCTGTAAAAGATGCGTATATTGACTAATTAAAACGTGATTTCCAAATGTTTTGGAGTTCGGAACATACGTTTTTAATTAGATATATCTGAGCACTTGAAAAACTTACACGGTTTTTAGAGGTTTTATTCCAGCGATTGTTTTCAATTGCGTATTTATCAGATGTGTGGTGTAGAAGTATAAAATTGGATGTGAATCGAGTGGGGGAATTGGTAAGTAAACATGGCTCGAGCGAAGACTCTCGCAAGTCGACCATAGTTGTGAGAACTCCCATTCTTGTGACCACCAGCGTCGCGAAAACGTTAGTCGCCTTCATTCGGAAACACAAGAAACCCTTCGTGCACCGCGTGCATGCCTTGGCGGGGCAAAGCCTCGCATTTCGGGTAGTTACAGCAAATCCTTGAACGGAATAAGGTCAGTAACGACACAAGCGCTCATGCGCGTGACGTCTCTGCGCTTCGAACGCGAACCTCGACAGAATTTCTATTTTGTGCTGTTTCAGACTATTCCATGGGTTGCACGTCTGGCTTACACTAAGCCTGAGATTCGGGCTCGTTACAAGGTGGGCTTCCAAAGAACCTGAGTTGCTCAAAACATTCAGAAGCAACTGGCGGTGGGATATTGGATCAGCTGAAGGCAACCGAAGCGGCCATATGTAGTGGGTCTATTCAAAGACAAACTAATAATGCAGAGCGTCACAACGCACAGGGCCTTGTTCCCGCTTAGCGTATTCGAGACAATCACGGAGGCAACTCAGAAGATTGATAAATATCTAATATGCCTTCAGATGTTCTTCCTTTCAATGTGTTATTGCCTTAAGGTAAGAAAGCAAATTACTTTATAATTTTTGCCAAGCAGTTTTCGTATTACTGCCAAGCAGTTTTCATATGTTGACTTTAAATATGTTTTTAAACGCAGTACGTGGAAATAGGGCGTCGGTTTGACGTTTGTTGAATTCTTGCACTACTAACACTAAGCTTTGAGAGTTCAAAACTTGAAAGGAACAGAATTATTAGTTAAAAACACTTGAAAATCTATTTTCAAGCAGCTGCTACAATGTTGTCTCTGTGGTTTGGCGGAACCGTTTCAGATATTCAAAATCATTATTCTTTTAATATTAGCAACTAGTTTCATTAAATTGCGGTGCGCATTGTATTAATATAATTAGTATGTAAACTAGACATTTAGTTGTTAAGTCAAAATATAAACTAGTAATGACAATGTAAGTTTTGTGTAAGTCGCACGAAAGTTTTGAGCAACAATTTCGTTTATATAGTATTTCATTATTACTGTTAAGGATTTAAAATGTTTCTTTACAGGCCTGTGACGAAACAGATTTCTTTGGAAAACCTGACGATACTCTTTCTGAGGCAGCTACTGTGATCGTAATTTGGCGGATTCTTTTCGAGTTCGTTGGTCCTCTTCCTGGAAAATATGCAAGAATATGGGTAACTACGTTTCGCAGCACTAAACCGAAAGTTTTATAGAACGAAGTACGCTTAAGTGTCTACTGAAGATTTGGAAAAGTATGACCCAATGTATGTGATCAATGGTGAAAAGGTTACTTTTTAGAAAGTACTTTGTTTCGCGCATTCGAGCTTCTATAATGTACTCATCGAAAACAGCAATTGACATGCGTTTACGACAGAAATAAAGGATAGATGCGGTGACAAGCGTGCTTAATTATTCCATAAGTGCCTTGTTTTGAGGCAGCACAATGGGGAATGTTAGCCACCGCTCGTATTTTTCTTTCTTTTACCAATACGTCTCTGACACGGACGGCAATTGCATGGTTCCCCAATTCGGCATGGTTCGGCAATTGCAATTGCATGCATCAACGAATAGATATTTATGGTACGAATGGTAAAAGTGACCTTTTTATTTTGCGAGTAGGAAAGGTTGCGAAACGAGACGGAGTGAGGTAATCCCACATGCAAAATAAAATTACTTTTACGTGTCATATACTATTGTTCAGAAAGTCTTACTAATGTTCATTTTATTTTAATTAGTTTATAAATAACTTAATGATTTATTAAGATCGGTGGTATCTGACGCGTTATGACGAAAGTATTTTGTTTTATTTGTTGCATTCAGATTTATCAGAAATCTTGAGCATCGTCTCAATTCAGCTCGATAGCTGAAAATTGACCTTGTGCACGCTACGCATGCCCTGAAATAACCACATTTAATATAGGCTGTCTAAAAATGTTTCAATACGCAAACCAATGCAAATTTGAAGAGCAATTCAGAATATTGCCCCACATTCTAAAAGAAGTGAACCAAATGTACGTTGCTTATCCTATATTCTACATTCTCAGGACATGAACTAATCAGTTTTCTCGGTATTCCTGTATGATATCTATAACAGGCTCAATATTTAATTCTGTTTTCCACACTTTTGTGGTCCAGTAGTAAATATCCTGCCACAAACAAAAATCTTATTTCTGCAGATAAAATTCTCCACAGCTGTTCTGGTGTTAATATCCACCTCTCGCTTCCACAAAGCAGTGATGGAAAGGCAATAACTGTAAAATTTAAATAGTTTCTCTTTGATCATAACGATACAACAATCTCTAAAGCGTTATTTCATACTACATAATAGACGTTTGGATTTTACTCAAGTGTTGTTCATGTTTTCTTGACTCCACATCATTAGCGGTTGCGAAAAGAAATATTTATATTGATATTTTTCATTAGTACACAGGAAATGTTAATATTTGAATATTGTGATACCATCGTTAAAGAATGATCATTTTGCATTGTGTAAAGTCGGTTATTTTAATGGCATATTCTGCTGTTTTACGGGTTTAATGTTGGTACCGAATACTTGGAGTGTGCGCGATGCGGGGCCTTCACGAAAGTGAAATGCAGCATTTTAATTCCAGAAAATGTTTCAATGTGGTTCCTTCATTAATAACTAAGATATTTGTATTAATTCCTTTGAGTTGCTTTTTCGCAGAACGTGAGTGATTTAGGTGGCAATCCATTTCTATAAGACGATTCTACGATGCAGGACTTCGTGAATACGTAAGTAGAACAGTTTCTTGATAAAATAATACGTAGGCTTATATATGCTCTATATGGTATTTTTCTGGTTCTTACATTTCATGGAACATATGACAAAACGCTGAAGAAAAAAAAAGAAAAAGGAAAAATAAAGTGTATTACTCTATGAATTGAAATTGGCGTTGCGGATAAAACAATATTAAAAATAAGCTGAGTGGAGAATATGAAAGGTTGTCTTGTCAATCCGCTGGAAAAGTTATTAATTTCAGTACGATTCACATATAATTGGGATTTCATGGGACCTGTGACAACTGAAGGTACTACTGCGGCTCCTAAGCACCGGAAATGCGCAGCTTCGGGATCCTATGGTAATTCGGAGATACTGACTTTTGTAAATCATTAACATCAAGACTTAAGTATATTTTGAAACTAGATGTTAAACAAATATAATTTATACATTTATGGATTGTGATTTTTGTTTCAGGTTGCTTGTCACATGCAATGTCAATGAGCAAGTTTTTTTAAAATTTATAACAAAAATTTACAATCTATTTTTTCAACAAATTAATAAGTAAATATGATGTTGTAGAATTGTTATGTTTTGAGTGGTATCCTAGTATCCAGTATAGTTTTCTTGTTTGAAGTTGTATGCTGCTTTTTTTTTGGCTAAGATGTTGATGCTTCCATGTCAGCCGTTTGTCTAGCATGTATTTCCCAAGTATTTTACACTTTCTCCACCTGTACTATGCTTGTTGTTGATGGGACCGAGGGCATTTGTTTTTTTCTCAGGGTAAAGGTTATATGGACTGATTCATTTTCCTGTTGATTGTTTATTTCCACTTTTTGATCAATCTTCAATTCATTATGAGCATGTTCTTGTAAATGTCCTTGATGCGACCTTAGGTCGTCATCCGAAGCTAGTTATGGCCTGTATCATCTGCAAAAGTGGCTATGGTGTCTTTATCTGATTTTTGCGTATATCAGTAGTATAGAAGCTGGTATAGGATAGGGCGAGACACTACCTTGTGCGTACTCGGCCTTGATTGGCATGAAAGATAATTCATTTGATATTTTGATTGGAAGTGCGGTAAGGATAGAAAATATCTGAATGTTGAAGAAGGGATACGGTAGAAAATTCTTGAGGTTTAAATAAGAGTCCATCGCTGCCAGACTTTGTCAAAGCTTGGGCCAATGTCTAGAAATGCCGGCTGAACAGTATTTCTTTCTTCGAAGCAATTCTCAATGTTAGTTGTGATTCTATTAAACGTGTTCGACGTTAGAATGCTGTTGTCTAAACCAATGAAAAGGGGGGAAATTTTCCCAGGGGGGGGACGTAGGTTATTGTTGCTTCAGGAGGACGTACCTTGCTAGAAATAGTTTCTCAAATACTTTGGATAGAATAGGAAGTATACTGATGCGCGACAGTCAGAGGAGGGTTCAATGTGGGAGGTTTCCAGCTTTTGAGAAAAAAGCCTGAATTTGGGGCTACTTGTCATCGCTCCGGGAGCTGCCCCTGTTCTTATAATACTGTTGAATAATGCAGTAAATTATAGTCTTGCCTTCTTCGTGATAGTTCTTTGAGAAGAGGTGTTGTGATTTAAAAGTCATAGCAGGAGCTTTTTTGTTTTGATTAAGGCGTTTAATGCGTTTTGTAATTTCTCTGGGGAGTGAAGTGTGGGATGGAAGCCGTTCATTTGTGATTTGGCGGAGTTAAGATCTCTGATTTGTTGCTTCTCTGAGTATTTATTAATGCGAATGAGTCTGGAATAATTAGCAAACATTTGGCCAAAGTATAGCGCTTTCTCTATGGGGTTTCTTTCCCAAACACTTGCTTTCGTCCCTGATTGGCGGGATTTCTTTTTGAAATCTGTTGGTTGTTGAATTTCGTTGTAGGAGGCATTTTATTTACCTAGTTGCTCTGTTGTAGTTGGTACTGTCTTAAGGGGGAAATAAAATTTTTTTTTTTTTGGAAGGTTATGGGGCCCCCCAAGAATTTTTCTTTTTTTTTTCTTAGGGTTTTTGTCTTTCCTTTTTTTTTTTTTCCTTCCCGGGGTTTTTTTTTTTTTTTTTTTCTTTTTTTGTTGGGGGAAAAAAAAAAAAGATTTTCTTTTTTTTGCGGGGAAATATTTTTCCACCCCCGCCAAGGGGGGGCCCCCCTGTGGGTGTTAAGTGAACTTGAGTGTAGCGTCCAAGCGCTTCTTTGAATATTTTGTATTATATACTCAGTCGCTCGCTCCCATGATTTAGTGTAATCAATATTTGTTTCATACATATGTTTTCTATAAAAGTTCTTTTATTCTTTTGTTAGTGACGGCGGGAGAGGACTGCTTAGAATAATTTTTGTTGCCGATGTGATAATCATTGATGTGGCCTCTGAGACATTCTGGAGAGATTCTATGATACACTTATGGAATGGTTCCTTTGTTATAATATATCAATTACCATCTGATGGTTTGTTAGGTCGGTTAGCCAGTTAGGTAGGTTCTCCTCGCGGAAATGTCTACTGAAGTGAGTAACTGCTTCACAGCAGTCTCTCCCTCTTGTGTATGAGCCTGGATCCCCATTGCGTGCTGTTTGGCATTTAGTCTCCTCCCACCATCTACCTATTTCCATAGACTAAAATAGGTTTCAAACGTTTGTGCTTTGAATCTTGGGGGCTTAAAATGGCACTGGTTGTAATTGTCCACTCCCGGTCCATAATTTTGTACAGTCGTTGCTTGAATATCTGGTTCCTGTACACTCTGTTCCTTGATGTTTAATAGTACGTTTTATTATTATTGCTGTGACCACCAACTGGCTATGCCACCTAGGCGTGTTAGACCCGTATAAGCTGTAGTTCTTCAGTTTAAAGTTCTTTTTCTGTTGAAGTGGATTCAGAGATGAGTTAGCATGTCTATTTGTTTTCGTGAGAAATATTTCGATTTCTTGGCGATGATTTGCCAAGCCGTTGGCGTTCCAAGCTGCAATGCGAAGGAATTTAGGCATTAGTTTGGAGCCAAGCGACGTTATGAGGTTAATTAGAGTTTATTTGTTGACTTTGCTGCATTAGTATATTTTCCAATCTCTCAAAGGAGTGCTGTATAATTTTCATAACGGAATGGCTATCGTCGTTGTGTTGATGTCTTTCTACAGGCTTAGATCGCGCAACATCGGCCCATGATACTGCATTTGCACGTCTACTTCTTGAGTTTTCGTGAGAATAAGTAGTTTCAATGTTGCTGTTTTGTGTCTGCACATGCATCTCTTGTTGAAACATTCTGTGTTTACTTGAGTTGTTGTACCCTTTCCTTTTTAGTATTTCTTGGTATACTTTGCAACCTTTGTAGTTGGCGGGATGATTGTCTTCACACAGAGCACAAGTCGGTTGACTTTGCTTTTCTTTTAAACTTAAACACCTATACGGGTATGCACAGTACGACCTGGTATGTTCATATCTCTGACAGTTTTTTGCATTGTACTATCTCGCGTTTAAGGCGTGGTGGTTCGAAAGCAACAACACAATTTAACAGTCGGTTAATTTTGAACACTTTTGTTGTTAGGTTTGGGCCCAAGGACTACAAAAAATAGAGGCAGTGATTTAGTTAGTCCATGGCGGACATTTATAATGTTTCTAACTTTGTGGTCCTTTTCCAGAAGCGCAGCCTTGATATCTTTTACATCTACCGTATGATGTATGTGTCGCAAGACAACTCTATACGCACTCTATTCTTGTTTCAACTGGTATGTATAGTATACGTGACTGTTGGCTGATAAATGTTTTATTATTTCCCTGTATGCGTTTCGAGTTTTCGGCGTTATTTTAATTTTGTCGTTTGCCAGAGATTTTATTTTGAAATCTTCTGTTTTTAAGGCTTCCTTTAAATACTCTATCATGGCTGGAACATTATTCACATTTGGCACAAAAATTGGAGGTACAGTTGTTTTTGGAAAGGTTTCCTCATTGTTTTCTGTTGTGCATTCTATATCAAGAGCACTGAACTGATTCTTGGTGGGAACTGTATATAACTGTATATACTATATAAATGTATAATGAGCAAGTGGCAACATTTCGTCCTTCAGGTATTAAACACGCACAACTTGGGCGGCTATGTCCGAAGTTTGACGATGATAATTCTTAATCGTAGTAGTACAGGATTTTTTTCTCGTGTAAATATCTCAATATTGCCCATACATTCAATCAATGTGGTAAGTTTTTTCAGGTATGTCGCATTTAAATGCATCATGTGAAGCTAGAAGTTCATTCCCACTCAAGATATGTTTCAAATAATTTCGGTTAAGTTTGAAATTTGACCACGCAGATGAAGTTATTATTGAATGAATAGGAAATAATTTATTAAAATTAATTTCGGGTGGCTTTTATGTCGCAACTGAATGTATTCTGCGTTTATGAATATTCTGATTCTGAGTCTTCAGATGCTGCGTTACGGGAAATCCTTCTGATATTTTCGTATAGTAATAACATAATTTGTGCTAAAATTGGTTGTATATTGCCAATATTTTTTTTCCATTTTGTTATGTCAGTTATTTCACTGGTATACTATGTGCTCTTGGTGATGTTTCAGTTTTGGTACTAAATAGTTGGTAGCCTTTAACATCATTGACATGAAAACCTATTATTGCGGCGTTGTAAGTTTTATCACGTTAAAGTACAATAATTATCTCGTTTACATTCCGAATATTTGTAAAAATAAGTTTCATGGATGAATAAAATAACTATCAGGTAAGAAACTGCCCTTGTTTAGAATGAAGGGGAAAAAAACGTGAAAAAATTGAGTCCTGGGTACTACGTACAAGTGATGTTGAAAGGTAAATTTTAGTTACTGGTAACGTGCATGAAGAATTTTAGAGAGTTGTACAAATTTTAAAATATTGAAACCTTGAATGTTTCTAGTAACAACTACATATGAAGTATAGTATTCAGCTCTGCGGTTTTGAACTTTTATTTGGATGGCAATGCATTTAACATGAAAAATGATTAAAAAATGATGTAAATTACTGAAACCTGCAGAAGAAAAATGATGAAAATTACTAGAACTTGCTCAAGTGAATGTCTAGCAATTCAAAATTGAGGTTGTTAATATTTCAATTGAGATCACATGTTATTGGTGAATTATTGAATTCCTGCCAAAACAAATAAAATCAAATAAAAACGCCTTCATGGTACCACATCAATACTAGGCAAGTACATAATCCATTTATAGTTAACAAAAAAGGTAAGCAAAATTTATTAGTGAAGTACAGCTAGACACTTACACTGTTTTCTCTGCTTCGTCCAAATTACAACCATAATGAATCCCTATTATTTTTTTGTGGATTTGCTTACAGGAAATATAAGGTAACCGGAAGGAACCATCTCAGCCCAGGTACATTGACAATACAAGGTGATTGTCAAAGAGATTACAGCGAGTGTACTCTTACAATATTGGATATGTTATTAACGATTACTTATTGTCTTTGTTTTCAGGAAGGTCGTATTTAATGCGAGTGAACGGAACGAAACTATTCTAATTCCGATAAATCGAGTATGTTTAAGAGCAGATAGTAAAAATTGGTTGCACTTTTTATAAAAGTTGCAAGCTACGTCAAAAAATGAAGAAATCAATCAATAACAAAGGTTTTGAATTTTGTGGTAGTTTGTACTACATGCTTCACTAAAAACACCACCTCTGACCACTATTCAGAAGCATGGAAAACTTGGAAGAGGAGAGCAGGTTTGACGTTAATTCTTGCGTGACACTTTGTGGTAGAAGAATGGGTTTTGACTCGACAATGTTGAATTATGACTCCAAAACTGGAGTTTCTAATTCTTACTACTTTTGCTTTTTTCAGGTGGTCTGTTTATGAAAATCAGAGAAATGATAGAAATTCTATGTTGATGTCAATGTCATACTTTAGAAATGCAGCTTTAGCGGCTAGATTGGATATAGTCGATGGACGATTCTAAATCAATGTGGGGAGGCATGAAGAATTTTCAGAAACTTGAAATTATCCATACAATAATCAGTATTCTACACCTGTAAAATATTTTTAAAGCAGCATGTAGTTTACATAACATAAATATTTTGGATGTTACTATTCATCCTCAGATCCTGTGTAAAATAAAATAGAAGACGGCTATTTCGGGAATTGGACATTTGTCAATATTTGTAGAAGTATGTGTATTCGGTAAGTAGTGTTTGTTCGGTATTTTTCAGCAAACATAATTTGCAACGTTTGAAAGATGTGCAAGATTGAATATGCAGAGATATGGGACTGTTAATAAATATGAAATACAGAATTTTAACTCTTAAAAATGTTGAAATGTGATAATTACATTAATAACTCAAATTTTTTATAACAGTTTTGCCTAGCTTGTATTTTACAGGAGTGAGATGTCAAGGTGCCAATCCAGTTCTACAGCGTGGGTCCCCGGGGCAAGATTTTTATAAGTACATAGGTAGATAATGCTGTTTGTGAAAGTATACGCAAGTTTAAACATTAAGTACTGAATAGTGTTTTTTCAGGTACCTTATTTCGTGCAAAATAAGAGAACACGCTTGGAATAAAGATACGCATTTACCCTATGAAATGAAATAGTCCTTGCGGTTAAAGCAATTAATGTTCAATATGGTCTGCGAGGAGGATTTTGAGTGTTCAAAATGTTTTGTCAATACCTTTACATCTTACGGATTTGTTCAGTAATGTTAATGTGTATATTTCATACGACATATGACAACTCAATGTTCTACCCCGCATCCGAAGCAACGAAAACTGATCCGACGAAACAGGTTCGGGATCAGTAATTGAGATACGGACTTTGGTAAGTAAACATTTTCAACATCAATGCTATTATATATTTTGATACTGGATTTTGAAAAACTGTATTACATTTATTCAGTAACCTTTTATGTATATTTTTTCAGGTAATTATTACGTGCAATGTCAGGGAGCACGGTAGTCTTTCGATCTTGATCTATTAAGAACTCTCACTTAGGATGGCAGTGTCCGAATTTCGGGGATAACACAAGTAGACAGTGGGCTCTGTTAAATGGCTAATTCTAGCCTTTTCTTATGTACTTTGCTATATAAAGGCGAATGCAACCACTAAAATTGCCCATTGGGCTCAGTTTTCGCTGTAATTGCACATATAATAAACATTATATATATATATATATATATATATATATATATATATATATATATATATATATATTATATATAAATGCAGATAACCACGTGTTTATGCTGAAATGTTAGTTGCTTGCAAGTTTATTAGAAGATGGTCTCCAATAATGTATGATATTGTAGATTCCACGCAGACATTAAACAGATGCCAGTATGTCAAATCAGTTGAGCAACTCGTCGGGCATTTAGAAAGGAATTGCAGTTCCCCACGTAAACGACGCGCCGACTCGACTCGGGTACTTGGGTCACTGCATGTTAGTTGCACCCATGACTGTCATCATTTCATTGTGTTGTATTAATTTTTGTATAAGCAGATTCCTTGCAACACCACGGCAGTGAGTAAAACAAACCATTCCTGTTGTGAGAGTAATGAGGTAACTTTGAAGATCGAAAGGCGCAATATTACTTTCTTAAGAAGGCATAAACATTATGTTAAATCGGGGTATATCCGGAGTTTAGGGTGGAACCGGTTCTTTTGGTTCACTGGTCCCGTTCACTAGAGGGGAATCGACTCACTGAACTGCATCCTTGGTTATTGTTGTAATGGTCACCATGTTATCGCAAGAATTAATAATTTCTATTCAACACTCACATGCTACTTACACTATCGATTACTACTCAAAGCCAAAATTTAATTACCAAAAAAGCATCTAATCGACTTATCACTTTTTATATGCTCTAGAATTCGCAGTATATTTCAGTAACACTTTCTATTTAAACATTTTTATTATCCCCAAACCCCCATTTTAATAATATAAAATTCAACCAGACTTTTTTTCAAACAAATACTATATGTCAAAGATAGCAGTATTTTATTAGAAAAAAATATAAAAAATCAACTCACAAATCGCTGAAATTATAGAATTTTAGAGTATTAAAAATACTATGTAGTAAATGAGTGTAACATAACTGCACATTACGTAGAACATCCTTATAACACGAAAAACTTCAATGATTCATCAACGTATCACCAAATCTGCATCTATATGAAAAAATACTCTTTACTTCTTATGAACTAAAGTAAATTAATAAGTCTACTCTCAAACCAAGAATCCTTTCATACAGACATTTTCACAATGACCATTCTGGCCTCTGACTCTACAAATCCACTCAAAACCATCTGTTGTATCCTTTCTCTCAATAAACTTTCATTCTTGCATACATTACATACACGTCGAGACGCAAGCAAACCCACTTTCTGACACCACTAAATCTCATTCAGACTTCCCTTTCGGCGCAAATCAAAAAATCTGAATTTATACCTTCCATCTCGGTAGACACACAAAACAATTAAAAAAACTTGAAATGGCAATAAAACACCCAAATACACGCCACAAAATGCTTCGCAATTTAAATATTCATAAAATTATGCAGTAAATAATTTTGTAGTCATAGTAACAACTAAATGTGTTATTAGGAGCTGTTTATTAGTAAATCAAGTCTATTTCAACAAGTTAGCTAAAGCCTTAATTTTGTGATTTAAAAAGTGTTGTGAAGTGAAATTTTAAATGTGAATTGAAATTTGAAATGTATCGTTATGAAGAAAAAATGGTTTCGTAATTGGAAAAATGTATAACTTTATTTGGCATAGTGACATAGTTAAATTGTGTACATATTAATACATTGAATCAATGCCATCAAAATTTTTCTCGAGTGATTGAAGTGAACCGCGAAACTATAACCTTATGAATCACGAGATTAGTGATCCGAATCAGTGAACCAAAGGAACCGGTGCCACCCTCAACTTCGGATCAACCCAAATCGGTGATCAGGTGAGCACCTTATGTGATCAGGTGAGCACCTTATGTTTTATACGTAACTTGGCTTCAAGAAAATGCGCGCTGTATACAGTTTGCAATTCCCATGGCATGGATGGAACCAAAGGACCACTCACGGGACGTTATTTCTGGGTTACCGAAGTTGCTGAAATCACAAGCAAGCTCAAGAAAACCACTCAATATCGAAACGCCTTTTCAGCTGTCAGGCATGTTCCTCACAGTGATAACCTTCCAATCCCAGCGCCACAGGGCATATGGATTTTGCATTCCGAAAACAACGGTGATGACAATTCAAATGTAAGTACCGAAAAGAACGACATTAAAGACCAAGATTTCGGAGGAATGTATAATACAGAATGTCGTAGAATCAGTTGGAACATAATCTAGCTTGTGATTGCAACTTTGACGAATCAGGCAAACCTGTTGGCGTTGAGTTGGAAGTTCTTCACAAAGGAACTACATTTACTGTTTGTTGCCGACGGGAACAAAATCTGATGCCTGGTTTCATAATGAGGTAATTTAATGTATAGTACTGCTGTTAATGCATTACTGAGTATTTTGGGAGTCCATGATTCTGAGAAATGAAGGTAGTTTGGATTCCTCTAAACTGTTTAAAAGTGGGGCTTGTTAAAATCGTAAATGAGAAAAAAGCCATTCTAGCCTATGCGGAAGCATTGGCCCCAACGACATCTAATTGCCGAAAAAATTTAACTTTGCAACAGCTTGTATTGCTGAACACGCATATCTTCTTACACACCAAACTCGGATTGATGAAAAATGTTGCGACGGTGATGGATAAAAGTGGGCCAGGTTTCCCGAACTTAGAGAACAAATTCCCGAGGATTGGTGAGGCGGAAATGAGTTGATATGTAGGATCACAAATGAAGGAGCTTATGAGGGACGGTGTCTTTGATGCAAGTTTGAATAGTGTTAAAAGGGCTGCATGTATGTCGCTTCAGAAGGTCGTAATGAAATTCCTTGGTAACAGAAAAGCTGATACCTATGAAGAAATAATGTGAAACTCTTTCACAATTATAAATCTCTTGGATATAAAAAGCTCTTAAATATACATTCTCCGTGTTCAAATTCTCGGTTCTGTAAGTGACAAACATGGTTAGTGATTACACCAAGGCAATGTGACTATGGAAAAATAAGGGGAAATGGAATCAATATATGATTAATGCTGGGCGCTAAAAAGGATATACTAAAACAGTAAACAATCGTTCAAAATTACATTTCGATTTAATTATTATATGTAAGTCAAGTAAAGGAGACCATGAACTTGACAACTGTGTGTGCTTTTTAATTGCTTATTACGAATAACACTTGCCCGTTACAGATAAATGCTCGACAAATTTGAAATCAGAGCACTATTTTCCACACGAAACAGCCATCATATTTCACTTAACAGACAAAAGTTAAAATTTATCGACTAGCGTAATTATAATTATCATCTTTAATAATTATTTTTGTACAGTACTTAGTCTCGTGTGAATATCTCAATATGGTTACTACATTTAATCTGTTACGCTTTTTCAGGTATCTTGCATTGTGATATGAAATATGTGAAACTGGTTCCTCCTAAAGGTATGTTGAAAATAATAATTTGCGATGAAGTTGTAAATTCGGCAAATCAAGATTAGTGACGTCATTCACTATTCAGTGAACAAGGAGTAACTTTTCTATAAATTTCAGGTGCGTTTTTATGGCGTTCAACTTATCTAAGTCCACCGACGGCTACATTCATTGGATACGGCCATCATAGCGGATGTATTGCAAATAAGGTATCTAAATAGTCTTCCTTATATTCTCAATTATTTGATAACTAAAAATGTTGGGACGTTTTCCTTGTTTAATTGGTCACAAGTACTTACTACGTTTGTTTAGGGTAACCTTAAAGAGGCGTGTTAGTACGTGGGATGTTTCCCTACCTGTGTGAAATGACAAATCACAAATGACTAAGTAGAGAATTCGGCAATATGGGAATCTTTATCTATGTTGAAGTTAATCATTGTGACCCGCAAACGTTTCTTCAGAATTGCCCCTTAATTTCTGTTAAGGCATTTGTAAGGTGTCTTCAAGAAGATGATTTATCCTTCGGGATAAGACAATCTATCCCGAGAAGAAATGAAAAATCTCAAGGTAGGTGGTATCGGCAATTCGGAATGCAATTTTTTAACTATATGTAGCGAGAACATAAGTTTTCTCCTAGAACAATTTTCAATTTTGTCTCTGTTCCATCATTACATGAATTTTTTTTTGGAAGACCTGAAGGCTTTGGTATATAGAGGTATTATCCCAGCCTAAAATGCATTTAAGAGTAACTGTGGGTGGCTGATTACATAATTCGACGATAGTTTAATGATATACATAATTTATTTAAGTGATATATAGTTTTTTATGTATTGCAGAATTATTCCTATATTTAATCAGCGAATTGCGTTGTATATTTCAGGTGACTTGCATTGTAGAATAGTGTGAAATCTTGAAAATATCAACAGAACTAGAGTTGCAAAACGTAGAAGTATGTCAGGAATTTTGTGAAGTCAATTTTTGTAACTAATGTCATGAACTTGTAATTATTTTTCAGATGTTTTCTAGATCATGCAATATAAGTTGTACCACCATTTCTAGGTGAATTAAAAACATCGACAACTGTCGATGACATCAATTGACGATGCATTGTTTATGGATTGAAGACAATTTTATTTTGCCAAAGAAACGTTGTTTGAGAAGTCATTAGTATTTGTTTGTAATGTTTCAGCACGTTTTTGTTGCATAAAGATACCAATTGTCGGAAGTAACATCCCTGGCCGCAGGCAACGCAGAAAATAGTTGGCGGCAATACCATGTACTCGACGGTGCAGTATTCTTAATGTAAGGGCGGTACATCTAATAGTCCTTGAAGCATTGCATTCGTCGGTTAATAGTTGATATTTGTATGTTTTTTAATGTAGCTGCAATTTGATGAACAGTTGAGACTGTGTTAGCAAGTTAGATATACATAGTAAAAACTTAAAAATATGATTGTCCAGTATACATCTGCAATTTGTCGACTCTATAAATCCCGTAATATAGACTTTACTAAATAATGAAAGCGGGCTTTAATAACACTTTCAGGCGACTTAAATACTTTAAATTCCTTCCCTATCTCAATTTCATTGAAAACTCACATCACGACTATGTCGGGAACTTGTCCATGTGGCATACTTCACATGCAAACACTCTTTATCCTTAAAAAGGTTTGAATATTTTCGTTAAGTTTTATCAGAAATAATTATATAAACTTTCCAATATCTTTCAAACCCTATGTCCTCTAAAAAAGACATATTGGAAGAATTGATGCAAAAGTTATCGATGCAGAATTATTAATTATTAAGGTTAAAAAATGTTCCAGTATTTCCATAGTATATCAAGTAATAGTGTTGGTGCAATCCCATCAAAGATGATTCGCAGATCCACACGAAGGTCTGTGTCAGAAATGTCGTTAGGAGGGGGTAATCATGATAAAAATTGCAATGTTGTCCCAGTTTTAATCCGTACTTTTTTTCAGGTCAAGCAACACGTTAGAGCTGGTAATTCCATCTGTATGTGAATTGAATACACACATGGCAACTTCGTATGGAATTCCTTGATCCAGAAATCTTCGTGGATATAAAGGTATTAAAGAATTGTTTCTTCAATTATTATAATGTCCCTTAGTAGATCAGCCATTTGTTTGTCCTCTGTATTCGTCAGTCATGACATTGCATCCAGCTAACGATAGTGAAATCTTAAACTTAAGAACGTCTTTGTTACGTATTTTCTCATCGATCACTTATCGAAAAACCTTAATTTTCTCAAATATCACAAAAAAATTTAATTTAAAGAATTCGTACAGTTAGTTGCATTTCTTAGCCACTTCAAAGTTACTACTGTTATTACATCTAGAATACCATACAAACATAAATTCCCAATTTCGTGAATCTGAAAAACATTCGAAGTAGTCACGACCTCCCGTTCACTTAAGGTCTTGTATTCTAATATCTCGTTTCTAAATAACATCACTAACAGATCTTTCTTGGCAAATAAAAGATGCCATGTAATACTTCCTCTTGTTAAATACTACTCTTAGTCTTCCCTAAACATTCACACTGTTACATTACTTTTTACAATGATCAGGCAGATTATTTCTTATGAAAGTCCAATTTGGGGATCTGCATAATAAACAAATATCGAATCCAAACTTTTCAAAATATCTGCCTTCAAACTATTTTTAAAGCCTCATAGTTTATTTCTAACGAACAAATTCATTGAGTTAAACAAGCTTCCTATTTTTTGTGCACATTTCGGCAAAAGTCGATCGCAAAATTAATATTTAAACCGAAAGCAAATTTTAACTAGGCAAACATAATCTGTATCGAAATCGACTAAACCTTAACTACCGCAAAAATTCTTCGACCCTCCGTAATCTCCTCTTCAATAAATTTTGAACCCTCTTCTACTACTAACGTTCCTTATTATTGAATATTTTCAATAATGAAGGGCGAGTTTGTATTAAAAAGATACCCATCTAATAAATCTTATAATGAGTATTTGTCACTTGCCAATTGCCTAACTGGCCAAAGGCAATGTAAAAATGAAGAAAATATATATACCCTGTTGCTGGAAGGAATTAACTAGCAACCGTTACCAGCTACATTTCAGAACTTCCCATACCTTTTAATAGTTTTCTTGGAAAGGCGAAATAAAACAATATAATACTGCACATATTTTTCATATAATTAACTATTTACAAAAACTCATTCAGTAGTCAGTTACTAGAAGCAAAAATATTTTTTCAGTTCCATCTAATACAAACATTAGTTGTTTTTTTCTTTTCCTATAAACTAATTAAAAATTTGTATTCTGTGAAGGTAGAATCCATCTTATTATTGATATTACTAGTTCTCCTTTATTAAATAGTCAAAAAGATTATCATAATGAATATATTTCTGCAAACTTTAGATCCAACTTTAACCGTATTTTACTCTGATCATTTATTACATTTGTCGTTATATAAGTTAAAGACATCAGGAAATATAGAACATATATGTATTACTTGTAAAAATATACATTTCCAAACTTTGTTATAAAACGGACATCTATAAAAATTCACTCACCCTTATACAAGCATTATGTAAACGACATCTTGGTCACTACTAACTTCATAGTATAACTTGAACATCTCATTCCATCGACATTTTTACAAGTACTACTATCAGTATATTCTGATATACAAGTAACTGAATGTAACGTTATAGTAACCTTAAACACTTTACAGATCATGATAAAAACCCATAGCGATTTAGTCACACATGTTTATCCATGTCTAAATGTCAGCAGTATGCTTTTATAACTGGCGCTGAATACGACTCTTGTAAAGATGTCGAGTGATAGAGAAGTTTGTTTCGACTATTGACCAATACAAATATATGTGTAAAATTATGTAGTAGATACGTCTAGAATTAAGTTTAGATCGTAAGTTTAGTACATAAGTTTAGTTCATTAAGTACCCCACACAACACACGACTGACCACACATAAAATGCATTAAACTACCTGTACTATGAAATTAATATTGATTAAGTTACTTACATAATTGTTTTGTAAGGGCAAGTGAAGTTTGTTTAAGGGTAATTCCACGGGCACTCAGCACGACCGCACACCAAATCATCTCAGATTTTTTATAAACGACAATAACTATATGTTGAGATTTATTTGCCAAAGTTTCAGCCTCTTACGATAATTTTGTTTTACAAGCAATAAATTTTGAATGGATAAAACTCTTACAATAATAATAATAATAATAAT